AATGTTTTTGTATATGAGATTTTGTATGAAAATATTTTCAATTTTTGGCATATACCTGGGAGCGAAATTGCTGGGATATGGTAACTATAAATTCAACACTTTGAGGCAACATCAAATTGTTTTCTCATGTAACTGTACCATTTTACATCCCCACCAGCAATGTCCAAGGGTTTCAATTTTTCCATATTCTTCTCAACACCTGTTATTGTATTTTTTTATTACAGTCATTCTATGGGTATGAGGTAGTATTTCATTGTGGTTAGATTTACATTTTCCTGATGACTAATGATATAGAGAATGTGTTCACATCCTTATTGGCTATTTGTATATCTTCTTTGGAGAAATGTCTATTCAAGTCCTTGGTCCACTTTTTAATTGACTATATGAGCCAATTGTTGCATTAACATTTGCTTTAATTAGCTAAGGCTGCCACAATGAAATACCACTGGCTGAATGGCTTAAACAATAGAATTTCTGTTCTTACAGTCCTAAAGATCAGAGTCTAAGATAAAGATGAGGGCAGGTTGGTTTGTCTTGAGGCCTCTCCCCTTGGCCTACAGATGGTCACCTTCTCACTGTGTCCTCATATGGCCTTTGCTGTGTGTGTACATCCCTGGTATCTGTGTCTCCCTTTTTGTMTCTCTCTGTCTCTCTCTGATATGATACCAAATGAACTGGATACCACCTCATGCTTACAATCTCATTTAACCTTAGTTTCTTCCTTAAGGGCCTTAGCTCCAAATACAGTCATATTGAGGGTTACAGTTTCAACAAATGAATTTGAGGACACATAATCCAATCCATTTTACTGCTGAATAAAAGCAAAGCCAAGGGAAAAGTCTTGTTCAGTTGTCTATTTCATAATTATTTGTAAGACTTAACTTCTATGTAATGCAAAGCTTATTTTGTGGTTGTTCATGATGATGATGATGATGATGATGATGATGATGATGATGATGACTGTTGTTTTTTGTTGTGGGACACTTATTCAGACTTTTTATAGAGCCTCAGATTTTCTGTACAGGAAAGTTCTGATTGTCTAGTAGCTGGTATTGAATCTAACTGGGTCACAATAGGCTATGATGGACAGGAAGGTAATTTTAACACCATCTCATAATCTGAGACCATCTCCACTGGGTCAAGTATGTTAGAAAAGGTAATGAGATTGCTAGTGGTACTTTGACCAGCAGAATCAAGAGTCTTTTCCAAAATAACCACTAGCCCTCTCCACAAACTTTCTGTTGGAGCCACAAACACAAAGGCCATGGAAAAATGTAAACACAGTAATATTTACTGTTATCTGTGTCTTTTGGCCTCAAATGTTAATGCAGAAAAATCCATATTACACAAAATACTCATTTTTCCAAACCTCCTTGTACTAGTGTCGTCAGAAAAAAATAAGCCATGATATTTACTCTCTTTCACCACTCCCTTTACCTCATCCCTTTCTCCAACAAAACCCAAACCTGAGTCTAAGACCCTGTGATCATTATCTGACTGCTCTCCAGGTGTGTAAGAAATGGAACCAGGTTTTTAAAAGGAGATGGCAAGGGAGAGCATTTGACCATATGGCTTAGCATGGATTGCCCTGGGCATAGCTAAAGCTTTAGTTCCAGGATAGAAGCACCTTAGAAGAAAGGAAGGGTGGGGGAGGGAAGGAGGGAGGGAGGGAGGAAAGGGGGGGTAGGTCTCTGGTCCATATATCAACAATTCTACCATTCATTCATTCCCTTTCCTGGCCATACACTCTAATAACCACCATGAAAGAGAAGAACAGAACACCAAACAATTCTATGTCCTAAGGGGGAAAAAATTTTTTTTTGAGTCAGGGTCTTGCTATGTTGCCCAAGCTGGTGGTCCCAAACTCATGGTCTCAAGCAATCCTCCCATTTCAGCCTCCCAAGTAGCTGGGACTATAGATGTGTGTGCCACTGCATCTGTCTGTCCTAAGAACTTTTAGTAACAGCAACTCCACTCACTAGATCTGAACAGTGATGTAAGTTTTTTTTTTTCTTTCTTGAGAAAGGGTGAAACAGGACTCAATATAAAGGAGAAGCAAAGAGAATTCTAAGAATGATTTGGGAGTAACCATAGATTTCTTAGTACACAAGAAGCACAACCATTTAAAAAAAACCCTATAAATTGGRCTTCATCAAAGTTTTAAATGTCTGCTCTTTAAAAGGTATTATAAAGAAAACAAAGGGAAAAATTATCTCAATATATAAATCCCAAAAATAACTTTTATCTGATATAAAAAATTCTTATAACTCAATAACCAAAATTAAAAAGACAAAATATTTGAACAAAAGAAGACACAAAAATGTTAAATAAGCCTATGAAAATATGCCTTGCATAATCAGAGAAATGCACATTAAAATCTCAATGAACTACACATTCATTCAAGTTGCTAAAATTAAAAACACTGACAATATCAAACATTAACATAGATGTGAAGCAATTGAAACTTCTTTAATAAACTGCTGGTAGAAGGCAAAATGCTTTGGAAAACAGTTCAGCATTTCCCTCTAAACTGTCACATATACTTATCCTAAGACTCAGCAATTCCATTTTGTAAGCATTTACCTAAGACAAATAAAAATGTATGTCCACTACACAGAACTGTGATCTATGTGCACAGCAGCTTTATTCATAAGAGAGAAAAACTTGAAACAACCTAGATGTCCATCAACAGGAAGAGCTAAACAAATTGAAACATATTCATACTGTAGAATACTAAGCAATAAATGGGAACATTATTACTTATATACACAATAACACAGATGAAATCTCAAAAAATGCTGAACAAAGACAACTCAGATACAAAGAGTACATGTTATATGATCTATTTATTTGAAAGTCTAGAAAAATGAAATCTAATTTATAGTCACACAAAGCAGGTTAAGTAGTTAAACAGGGCTGGCTGTTAGAGGAGAGGGGAAATGACTGCATAAAAGCTTTAGAGACCTTTTTGGTGATGGGACATAAATTTCCTCTTAATAGTGACAGGGCATTTGTTTACATTTGTCAGCTCACCAAACTGTAAATTAAAATGGTTGTATTTCATTATGTTCAAATTATATTAATTTAAGAAAGTTGACAGGAGTAGGAAGAGGATACCATAATTCATTTCATAGTCTTCCCTTCCAATTAAATGTACGTTCTATATTGTGGTTTATCCTTGTACTAAATAAGTAGACCTTGTAAATATCCTGAAAAAATTTTTAAGTTGCCTTATAACTAATATTACTCATTTTTAATAAAATTTCCATAATTGAAAAAAATGAAATAAGCCAAGAATTTCCCCATTCATTTATACTAAATCTCATTTTTACTTTGAAATAAAATTTTTGTGGGAGGAGTAGGGGGGATAGGAAGTGCAGCAGAATAGATTAGACATTATGATTGATGTATGTACATTCCATGTATGTATTATATGTCAAAATACATTCTGCTGTCATGTATGACTAAAAAAAATAAAAATAAATTGTATGGCAAAAAAAAAAAAGAAATAAAATTTTTCTTAAGAGTTTTGAGTGAGTCATTTAAAATAATCCATGTCCCCTCATGGCCTCTTGAAGCACTTGAGAGAAAGTCAAATAGGAGGAGAGTGAATATATCAGATTTACTGCTGAAGATAAATGATATAATAAGTTAAATGATATAATTTAGGTCTGTGCCAACAACGGCCACCTCATACTGCACCCAAAATTAAAGATAACCTGCTCTAAAAGCCATGCACAGTTCTGCAAGCATGACTATCCCCTTGCAGAGAGGCAGACACAGCCACAAGGTTCCCAAGGCTGAGAACAGGTATGACAAACCCAAAGAAGGGAGAAAGGTATGTGAATGTCACTTCTTTATCCCAAATTCCCTCCTCTCCAAGGGAGGTGAGAAGAGAACAGAATTCTTTGGTTAATGAACATCCTAAGAAGCACTGTGTAAAGAAGCCATCCCTTTCTGCCTTCCAACCAGTGGAGAGGAGTGTTTCTCAACTTTTCTTCCCTGTCAGCATATACAACAGATGAAATTCACATGTAATCAAATTAAGACAGGATTCATGTATGGTATTCTAACTACAGGACCATTGTTTCTCTCCCATTCAAAGTGGCCATAATTAATTGCAAGTGACTAAGAGACACAACTTTAGGAATTACCTCCGTTATTTCACTTTAGTTTACTTTGGTAAGGAGGTAACCAATTTACAGATTTCCATTATTTCATTATTGGTGTAAGAAATCTGACTATCTCAATACTATTGATATGCCATCAATTATAAAATATATCTTCAGTTTAATAACTTCTTAGAAAAGAATACATTTAATATGCCTATTGATTTGAAGATAATTACTTCTGGGACTATGGTTCTTGTGTCAACTCACAACTCATTTACATACATATTACATCATGAAATCACAACTCAGAATGACTGGACCAGTATCAATTTAGAAGGGCTCTGATTCAAGGAAATTTAAAATGATTAATAATTTTCTAACTTCTGGGAAAGGCACTGAAGTAAGTTTTTGGATCATGTAAAGTACAGTTCTTCAAAAAGATAAGGCTATACTATTCAGTTATAACACTAGTTTTCTGAGATACCTTTTTATTTTGTGTCTTCATTATAATTTTGCATATATATTCAATTTTTAAAATTTGCATACTTAAACCACTACCATCCTATTTTGTACAAAGGCCCCAGCTTCAGTAGGCCTAAGTTCTGTGAAGGGTGCTCTGCATGACTTTTCAATGTTTTATGCAGTATTTCTTAGCATATTTAAGATAAATACAATCTAGGAGCCTGTTTTCCAGAGAATAACAGAAATCCCATGTTATCAGGCATGGTCTGGATGTGAAGTTTTCTAACTATTGAGTGTCTACGGCACACAACTTTCAAACAAGAATAATAAAATTATATTCACTGTAATTTGAACCATAGACAGTGCTGTTTTAGGAAATAGACATCAATAATTATAGCACTATCACAAACATTTTTCTCAGGGTTCATAAAAATTCATCATTATAACCAATAAGCCTGGTAAACTTTTATGCATCAGTATTCACATCCTTAAAAATAATGAATCCATTTTTCTCTCCATGCATGGAAAAGTTTTAGCTAAAATAATCATCTTTGGGGGCCTAAAGAAATTAGTAGCCTTCCTCCCTCCATAACTRTTGTTTTTTTCTCCTCCACTTTATGTCTAAACTTGGTAAAGAAGAGAATAATCTGGCCTGCCAAGGCCAACACAGAGGAGAACAGATTCTTTAATAGTCTAGTGACCTGATGTACTCCATGCTGGGTTGTACCTCTTTTGAAGTTGAGGTACAGACTTTGTGCTAAGAACAATCTCCAATTAATAACCACCTGTCCTAAAAAATTGAAAGTAGTGACTTCTCACTTTCAGATAAGGAAAGATCATGGAGTTCTTTCTTAAAATCAGAGGAGACAGGTTAAGTATCTCCAAACTAATGCAATTTTTTCATAGAAATAGCTAGCATTTACTGAGCACTTCATGTATGAGGAAACATGCAAGATGCTTACTATATATTACTTTCACATAAGAAGTAAAATCAATCAAATTTTTCAAAAGCTAACAACATAAAATGGGGAAATCTTCAAAATTCAGGAAAAAAACTATTTATTCACATATTTCACAATAAACAAATATCCATTGCACAAAACAACATACCAAATGTTGACAAATCACTTCTCTAGTACCCACCTCCCTTTGAGAATATTCCTTATTAAACAAAATAAAATAAGTAATATTTTTATCATTCTAAAACTCATCTCTTTAACCAGGGCTTTTTGATGATATAACCTAGGGGAAAACTATAATACTTTTTAAGGCAAGTGTTGATTTCTCTAACTCTGAAAAAGAAAATAGGCTTTCTTCTACTAGAACAAAAATTTTAAAAATGGAATTCTCACAAAAATGTAGACCATTATTCACATGCTCCAACAGTGTTAGGTAAGATTACACAAAAAGTAGCTAACTCTCATCTCTAAAAGATAAAATTAATTTTATGCCAATAATATCTTCCTGAGTGTCACAATAATAGTTCCCAACAGTCCTATAGGGTTGTACAGCAATATATAGTATAAAAATAATCATATTAACAATGATAGTACTGATTTACAAATGTGTTCTTTCAACAAACAACTTCTTTAATACATCCTCACATTCATGAGATTATACCATAAATCACATTCCAGTGTCTATGTATTTTTTGTTTAACTTGTTCATTCACTGGCATTTTAACAATATCCCTACTGTTTTATTTTTAGAAAGATATGGTATATATTTAAATTTTAATTGTTTTTCATTTCACTGAATAGTTCCAAAAGATATTTGGAAAAGTAATTCTAAATCATCAGCTGGAAAGTCGCAACCAACAAATATTCTCGGGGCTTTTTAAGCATCTAAAAACAAGGAAAAGAAATTTGGGTTTTGATTGTGATAATTTTGGAGCACAATTTGTTATGACACATCTGTAACCATAACAATGAAAATAATAAAACCATCATTTTGACATTTATCAGTATTTCACACATCTAAGAAGACAAATGCCACTGATAGTACTTTAAAGTCAAAACAGAAGTACACATCTGAATTAAAAGCATCAAGAAAATGTTCAGAATGTACACATTTGCACACATTTTCAGATAAACTTTCAAAAATTTCACATATTACCAAATGGTAATTTTGAATCAAAATGAATGTCAAAAATATTCAAGCTTTGTGAAGACTTACTTTAGTGAAGCAGGAAAAATGGAAGAGTGAAGGGTAACAAGCATCATATCTCTAAGAGGGAAAGAAATCACACACTGCCTTTATCATAAAGCAAAAGTCAATAAGTCAACATTTTTAAAACAATGGCCACCAAGTTAGTCACTATTCAAGAATATACTTCTCAAGTTGAGTCCTTAAGAATGTATTCATTCAGATTTAAAACAAACTAAGTTTATCAATCAAAACATATTTCACTCAGAATTCTAATTTTAAGAAGCATAAATTGTAACTTATCAAGGCATAGTCCAAACACTATAATTCTACCATTTAGTTTTTATATTCATCTGAAAAACTTATTATACAAACAGTAGTTCTGCCTTCTTTCTCCAGAGTAAATGTCCCTAATGTCTAAACTTTAAGTTGCAATCAAAAAGATTCAAATAACTCCTTTCTGCATATTGCTTCATCGGGCTTTGATAAAAACAGAGCCATCTGGTGGGGTAGCACCATCCTCCTTCTCAGTTACAGTCTCAACAGTCCCAGAAGCTGACACAATAACCATTGTTTTATTTGCTGAAACTGTCTTCTGTTTTTCAGCAATAGCTGCACAAACAGCAACAATCTCATCGCTTTCAAAGTCATAGTCAGGAATTGACTTTGGTGAAAAATGTGTTCCTTCAGATGGTGCTTCACTTTTCTTAATCCTCTGTGCTACCTTCTGCTGCTCCTGAAGTGTTCTTGCCCAAGAAAGGTCTTCTTTCCATAGTTCAGGGTTCATTGGATAGATATGAAGGGCTACCTGAAAACTTCGAATTGCCTGGAAAAAAAAAGGTGAAAGTTTTTCATTTATTTTGTTTCTAAAATTCAGTATGTTTACTATATCTCTGAGAGTGTAAGTATACTGATTGACACCTACACATACATAATGCATTATTTTAATGTATCAGAACATTAAGGAGAGAAACTGGGGCTTTGTTCTAACCACTGGATGATTACAGTAGAAAAAAATTATAGAGTATGAAAGAAAGTAACTGATACAATGCTGATGGACTAAACACCAGTAAAACAGAGTTACAAAAGTTCATGACAAAGCAAATATAAAATATAAATTAAAACAAATTTTAAAAAATAAAATAAAAATATTGAACAATGAATAAATTATAAATAAATTGCTTAAAAAACTGCAATCTGAAAACCTCTCTTTTTTGATAGTTTTTTCAATTATTCACATTTAATATTATTATTGATTTGGTTGTATTTGCATTTGTCATTAAATTTTTGATTTCTAAAAAAATTATACTGTTTTATTGTGTGTACATATATTATAATTACACAATTATGTATAATTATAATGTGCCAATAAAGGAAAAAAAGAGATGCACTTAGTACCATTGATAGTAAATTTCACATAATGACTATTTTATTTTCATAAGTTTCTACCCTTCCCCACTTTCCCCTAAGTCCAGCAACTTTTCAGTTTAAATATTTAGCATCATTTATCTCCCATATTCTGTCTTCTTTTCCCTACAAAATCTATTAGTGGCTTCATTCCATGATAACACTGTTATCACTTTATAATACAGTAAACCTAATGATCCAAAGAACAAAGCCAGAAGTTGCTTATTGTCTGTTTAAATATGGTTAACCAAATGCTAATGTTTTAAGTTAAATTTTTATTTTTTAATTTTCATGATACCAAATAGCTGAAAAATACTCTTATCCTGATATAATTGGTGCTAAAAATCATAAAAGATGTTCAGTAATAGCTTTGATCTGTGTTTATAAAATAACGCTTTTAAAGAGGTGATTTTCTATTTATTTTTTATACAGACTTGAGAAATGACTACTTGCCTTCAGGTTTGGTTGATCAAAAATATGTCAAAATAAACTTTAAAATTCAGAATTATAATGATCTGACATCCTTACCAGGACTATCTCTCCTAATCCAAGCTGAGCACGCCCCAAAGTTTGCCAAGACTCCCATGAATGTGGGTTTCGTTGTACAGCCATTTCTGCAGCATGTACTGCTGGGAACATTTCATGAAGAGACATCAGAACCTATAAGCCAAAAGGAAAAAGAAGAGAAAAACTGAGTAATTAATCAGTAGTTTATTAGTTTATATATATATAAACTAATAAAMTACTGATTAATAAACGAAGATTTTCATTTCTTGAGTATATTTTAATCTGGTAAACAAAGCATTTCAGTGGTTTTTATCCCTCCTTTGCTATGCGAGATCAGAAATTTAGTCTTTTATCTCCTAAAATAATAAGAAAATAAAACTCTCCCTTTCCAGCTACTGAATTCTATGTCTATCTGGTCAAAACCAAGTGGTCCTATTCTGGACATGGTAATTCAGATCTATTTGAACTCCCATTTCCACTTTTATTTATTCCATTTACAATGTGTTTGTTAAGAAAACTCCAAACTTTGCTATTCAAGGAGGTAAATTAATTTGTTCAGCCAGCCATCCTGTCCCTAGTGAACATCTCCCTCATGTGAAAATTATTTTGACACTCCACAGACATCCTCATAACTGGGCTTTTAAAACCATAAAAACCAGAAAAATCAGGGAGTTTAAGTCTTCTCCACTTTTAGTCTATGAGAAAGGGTTGGGTTTTATCTATAATTGTTGGGGGCATTAACATTTTTATGACAGCATCATTATCAGGCTCCAAATTAAAGTTTTCATACAGTTTGCCCTAAATTATGCCTTATTATATAAATATTTTAAGATTGAGAAATGAAGGTCCTCATAGTACTTGCTTCAGTGGACATAATTTATTCAAGTTTTTCTGGATAAACTAAAATCAAATTAATAAAGCATGTGTTTCATGTTTGACATCATTATCTGAAAAACATTTATTAGGCACCCAGATCAAGGATGAACTCTACCAAAAATGTGGTTAATGTTCTGAGACTTTTGAAGTTGCTTGGATAGCCTAATTTGAGTGCTCAGAGGTTTTCTTTATAGACTTTCCTACAAAATACTAAAAAATGTATTTTTAAAAACAAATGTAACTTTTAAACTATTAATAAGGTGCATCTAATCTAACCAATGCTAGGGCCTCAGCTATTTTTAGAGAAATTTCATACAGAACCCAATTCATCCTAATTTTGAAGAAAAATAAGCTATAGGTGTTCCACTACAATGTAACTTTTTAAAAGATATAATTGATTAGATATAAGTATATGGATATCTTACAATTAGGTTAAATAACAGTTACATTCATTGTTAAGGCAAATAAATTTCTAATTTTATTTATATGGCACAGCCATAAATACTATGATAAAATTTTAAATAAATTATATTTTTAAAAGAAAAATGGGAGGAAACACTATTTTGGTTAATCACTGCTCACCAAACAAACAGCATAATTTCACAATCAAAGTGAAATTTTGCAAATTATTACCTGTGATTTCATCTCATAGAGGGTAGCATCATTTGGGGTTAACTGCAGTGCTTCATCCCACTTCTGAATTGCCTCCCGATATCTGTAGTTGTTAAAGTTACATTAATATCACATTTTCAATGTCTTTAAGAGTAGATGAAAAAATTTAAAAAATTAGATATTAGGAAATAATTAATTGCTTATTAAGAAATATCTCTGCTTTGGAACTGATAATGTTACAAAATCCAGAAAAAATAAAGAGATGAAAGGAAAGGACAGCAAAGAGAAAATGTAAGACTCAAATAAAAGAGATCTTAAAAATTTTTCTCCAAGATTTTTATTTTCCGGGTTGAGAAATCACCACCAGATTCATTCCCCCCCCCATAAACTCATAATTGGCATGTGTTTACATTCCTTTTAGATGCACATAAATTTTCTGATAAATTTATAATCCAGTTGCAACTGGGTCCTGCTATAGAAATCTAGCAGAGACAGAGATGATGTTTTAAGAATCTGCCAGGTAATTTTGTAAAAAAATTCTTCAGTTTTAAGTTTCTTTGTCTATAGGAAAGAACAAAGGGAAGAAACTATATCTGTTTTTGCTCATCACAGCAAGCTTATAAGAAATGGGTGAAATGAACTAAAACAATATGGAGATGACCTCCACTACCACACTTTCACTGATGTTTTCCTAATGGGTCTCTTGTGCTCTAAGGCTATTATGTCCATTAACATCTCTACCTGGACCCAACAGCTCAAACCCAGTATAACCAAATCTGACCTCAGCCTACTCCATGCCAAATCTGCAGAAACACAAAAGCACTTCTCTTTTTAAAAAATAAAGCTTCTACAAAGTTCCAGATTTTGAACCACTGATATATTAGGTACAAAATTATGTCATAGTGTATCTGTCACATCTATCTTATTAACTTTTATCATATACTATCTCCTCTTGAATCACTTCTTGGTTTTTTCCCCCAAACTTTTCATTTCCTGTGTATGTGTTCCTGTGCATAATTTTGTACCTAATATAATCAGCAACAGACTGAACATAATCATAGCAATCCCATAAGATTACAATGAAGCTGAAAAGTACCAATCACCTAGTAACTCAGTAGCTGTCCGAATGTCATAGTGTAGTGTATTGCTCACATTTGTGGTGATATTGGTATAAGCAAACCTACTGCACTTCCAGTCATATGAAAGTATAGCAGATAAAATTACATATAGTATATAATACTTAACAAAAAAACATGTCACTGGTTTATATATTCACTGTGCCATACTTTTTATTGTTATTTTAGAGTGTACTCCTTATACTTATACAAGTTTACTGTAAAAGAATGTGCAGCATTATACCAGAAGCAACTTCATACACCTTGTTCTTACTGAGAGTCTTGAGACCATGTCAAGTTATTGACCTATATTATCCAGCTTTGTGTAAAGTGTACACTTACCATGTTCCCACAATAAAATGCCTAATGAGATGTCTCAAAATATGTACACAATGTTAAGCATTGCATAACTGTATAGGAAGATTCAAACCAAACACAACAAAATGTCAGCTAGTCTACATAGATCATTATCCAAGCAAGGTGCACAGAACTAAAGAAATAAAAGAAGAACCTGAGAAAAAATAGAACGTTAAAGTCCATTAAAAATATACATTTTCACCTGAGTGAAAACACTTTCACTGAGATCCTTTATTAGGATATAATACAAATAGGCAATACCATTTCCAAGGTCTTATACCATATTGACAAAGCACAAATCAGATCTCTAAGAGCTTCACTAACTTAATTTTTTTTTTCTCTATGAAAGATTCTCCCCTACCCAAGCATTTGTCTAGAGCCAGGTTTCCCAAGTGGGAAGTTATAGGAGACATGGAGTCTCACTGGCTGATTTCTTTCAGTTCTTCCAATTTGCAAATTCCTCTGAAGTGCTACTTCCATTGCTCTTCTTTCCATGTACTTGAACACTTCTGCAACATGTCAGAATATGTTCATTATGCTGCCCTATACAGGTCTCAGTGGATGACATACAATTCTCCATATGAACCCTGTTATTAGGTGGTGGTAGACATGAGTTGGTTAAAATACTACGTCTTATGTAAGCTCCTGGTTACCCCGAGTGGGAATTTGAGGCTCACAGTTATCTTTAGATGATTTACATATTGCTGTTAGCTTATAACCTGCCCCATGCATTTCAGAATATGAAGTTACCATTTAAGATTTCTGTTCAGGTGTCATTAAAATTTAAGATACCACAAAATTCTTTATGAATTCCAATTCCTCCATTAAAATGCTATAAACTAAATGGAATTCATTGATTAGCTACTTTTCTAGTCATCACCTATCAGATCACGTTGCTTGGATTCTAGAGGCCAATTCTAATATCTTTTCCTTTCCTGTTCCCCTCAGATAATGTGGTAAATGGTACTTGTGAAAAAGACGGATAGTAGAAAAAAGATGCAAGGACCYCACCTGAGTACACAAATTAGAAGATGAAAAAGGAACTTACAGAGAAAGAATGAGAAAGTCATTCTGAACTCTCCTGGTGGACTCCTTGAAAGAGTAAAATCCACAGCATGCAGGTAGGAGAGAAAGGGAAAGAGGAGGAAGGCAGGGTTTGCAGAGATTCCAGTGGACTTTACTTCCTTCTCTGAACTACACATTTGTATCATTTAAGGCAGCCTAAAACTACAAATCGATGTCAGCAACTAAAACACACCRTCAACCAATATTGTGCATTCAATGTTTTTTTTAATACAAAATGTCTTTAAATGAGCTCTTCCTTGTATTCTATAACTGAGTAAATGATAATTGTTTTTATATTAAAAACTGTTTTCTGGGTATCAAATAAAGAAGAATCAGATAATAGAGAAAACACATCCATACACATACAAGACACTATAATTTCACCACACAAAAATTACAACCATAGTTAATATAACTTAACATAGCTAATATTTTATTGTATATTCTACCAGGGTTTTTTCAAAGTATACTGTACAACTCACACACATGCATTAAACATTTTCTCCATGTCTTTATATCACTAAAGGTTTCTGTCTATAGCATAATGCTTAAAGGGTGAATATCTATTAAAACAGCAAAACTTACTCAATAGATTCTCTGTTGTCAGACATTAAAAATTGTCCTTTGACCACAATAATTCCCTTTTGGAAAGAATTAGAAAATGAATAAATCATTCAAGAAAATAAACTATATTTGGGGGCCAAATATAATATGCATCTTATTTATATCTGATATAAAACTGATGAAGATGAGATCACCTCAGAGGGAAGATTATATAACTCAATATATAAATTTTACTGATTTCTGATAATTAAGAACACAGCTAATGAAAAAGAAATACACATTATATTTACTCATCTATCTTATTCCTCTTCAGATATTCTATTAATATGCTCTGCCAGCCTTACAAAGAATACAGTTCAGTTTCCAGTTGGCTTGGTTATTAGAATTAGTTATCTCTAAAGTTTAAATATCATTAATACCCTTTAAATATAACTTCATATCTCAAATATGAATCATATTAAGGCTGCTCAATTCTCCAGGAACTAGCCTACATGTTTAACAAAAAACATTAGGATTTAATATTTTTTTATTAGTTTTGCAGATAAGGAATAACCCCTTATTGATAAATAAAATATTAGACTCTCATGTCCTTTATCTTCAATTTAGTCTTCAAAACACACATATACACATACTCTTAAAATCTCTATTTAAAATGAATAATTATTTTTCACTTACAAACTATGGAAACAATAAGAAAACATGTAAATGAACACTAATTATTTTCAGAACCTTTGTGAAGAAACGTTAGAACTTTTTCTTTCAAAAACTTGGAAATATGATCAGCCAACTTCTGAATAATAYATATGAGTAAACATTTCCAAAAATTGTTATAAAATATTATATAAACTATAATCTACCTTATGTTTTAGGTCTACTATCTGAAAATTCTTGGAATAGACTCTCCTATATATGTATATACTCCTCCCATTTGTTCTGGGTTGGGGGCCACTAACAGGTCTTCTTTCAGGCAAAGATTACATAACCACGTTAATGATAAGAAATGGGGGGGGCGGGGTAACAACAACCAGTTTTAAAAGGTTAAAGCTATTGATACTGAAATGGGTAAGCAGCCTAAATTCCAATGCCATGTCCTCAAAAAGCTCCTCTCTTTATAGCAACAACTACAATCTAAAATATGATTTATCTGCTTCTTTATTACCTATTTTTTCCATCTAAAATGCAGGTGGAGAAGGTGAGTTTTATGACTGCAAAAATCTATTTCATCTTATTCACTGCTTTGTCCTCAGATTGCCTTGGCCCACTATGAGTATGCAATAAATATACAATAATTAATAAAAAGAAATTCTACATTTCCACCTCAAATTTTGGTGATAAGAAGGGAGCAGAGAAGATACAGAAAGTGGAGATGATCATCTTTTAAGTAGACCAAAGCCGCAGAATAGAAGTATGACACATGAGACAACACCTGGCTGTCAGCAACTGCCCCAACTGTTGAGAGCCACAGCCGAAGGGGCCCCAGCAAACTTCTAGCTGCCAGCAAACTTCCAGCTGCCAGCTGATGACTGGCTCACAGCAGCCCCAGCAAACTTCTAGCTGCCAACTGACTGGCTCCTCTGTGGTGATGCTCATTGGGCTGTTTCCCCGCCCTTTCAGACCACGGAGCTGTTCATTGGGGGACTTTTTTTGGCTCCGCCCACACGACCCAGCCAATCTGCCTCAAGAGCAGGAGGAGTGGGGGAAGTTGAGAGGCTTGTGGGAAGCCAGTGGTGGCAGTTGGGCTCTGAGGGGTTTTCCTGAGGAGCTGTGTGGTGTGGTATGTGTGTTCTAAAACTAAAGTTCGTTTCTTTTGACAAGTGGCTCCTGAATTGTGCCCAGCCAGACTGCGGCACCCAACCATATGTTCCTCTATCCAGGTCACTACTGACAGGGCTAAAGACAAACATCTAACCAAAGATTAGCCAATTCACTATCTAGCTGGCTATGTATAATTTCCACAACCTGACTTAACTGACATGAGCCAATCAGATTCCACTGTGTTGAA